GGGTTACGAACGCCTCTGCTTACGAACTTATCGGGTTGCGACCAGAGTCACGGAACGGATTAAATTTGTAACCCGAGGTACCACTGTACTTTTTGAAAACATTTGGTTTCTCTCTATCATTTTTTTGTGCTGTCATCTACTACTACACACTGGAAGCCTTATACACATATTAAAAAATCAATATACAGTGAGGCAAAAAAGTATTTAGTCAGCCACCAATTGTGCAAGTTCTCCCACTTAAAAAGATGAGAGAGGCCTGTAATTTTCATCTGTCCTCCACTCGTTACCTGTAGTAATGGCACCTGTTTGACCTTGTTATCAGTATAAAAGACACCTGTCCACAACCTCAAACAGTCACACTCCAAACTCCACTATGGCCAAGACCAAAGAGCTGTCGAAGGACACCAGAAACAAAATTGTAGACCTGCACCAGTCTGTCCTCCACTCGTTACCTGTAGTAATGGCACCTGTTTGACCTTGTTATCAGTATAAAAGACACCTGTCCACAACCTCAAACAGTCACACTCCAAACTCCACTATGGCCAAGACCAAAGAGCTGTCGAAGGACACCAGAAACAAAATTGTAGACTACTACTACACACTGGAAGCCTTATACACATATTAAAAAATCAATATACAGTGAGGCAAAAAAGTATTTAGTCAGCCACCAATTGTGCAAGTTCTCCCACTTAAAAAGATGAGAGAGGCCTGTAATTTTCATCTGTCCTCCACTCGTTACCTGTAGTAATGGCACCTGTTTGACCTTGTTATCAGTATAAAAGACACCTGTCCACAACCTCAAACAGTCACACTCCAAACTCCACTATGGCCAAGACCAAAGAGCTGTCGAAGGACACCAGAAACAAAATTGTAGACGAAAATTACAGGCCTCTCTCATCTTTTTAAGTGGGAGAACTTGCACAATTGGTGGCTGACTAAATACTTTTTTGCCCCACTGTACTAGTGAGGTGTTTCAGCTGGGGTCTAAATGAGACAAATCCTGCAATTAGAAGATGATGTTATGTAGGACATTTACATCACATGCACCTTCTTATGGACCTGTCTATATTTCCTCATGCTCACAAGGAGAGTGGGGAGGCTAATCTTGTCCTCTGCACATACTGGGGTCTTGACTCAGATGGGATTGGGGAGGCACATTTGATTTTAATTTAAAAACCCAGCTATAATAGGTACATTTCATATTATCTTTAATAATGTGCTTAGAACACAGCTTGCAAATAAACCATGCGACATCACTAATGCTGTTAATCTCAAATTTACCATTTGGAGTAGCTGAGGTTAGCATGAAGATCTCAAAACCACTATCCCGTGTAATTCTGAGGTATATCTGACAGCCTCAAAAATCTCCACCTGGAAAAATACAGAGTAATAGATAGGTATGGTTGGAGGACACAGTCTTTTTAGTTTGAGGTTTATGAATTTAAAGCAGAAACAGAAGCACAAAAAAATCAGCTGGAGACAATTTTCATGGATCTTGAATTGTACCTACAAGCTTTTGCTTTTTTAAAAACAAGCGTTGCAAGCAGGAAAAAATAAATATAGCTATCCCCAATGACAATAATATTTCTTGGGAAAAAAGCCAGATCATTCTTAGCAGGGATATAAGCAGCACCTTTCCTGGAATTTAACCATTCATTACTGAAAAACGTTGAAGCTGCTTTTTATTAAGACAACTTTCCGCTCCTTAAAAGCTTTACACTGATCTCTTTTATCACAAGACACAGGATACACAACTACTGTATAGTTTTGTAGTGTATCTTCTGCAAGTTTCAGTTTGTGTTTGTGATATTGGTAACATTTAAAAAATATTACTGGTGGTCACTAGTATTTACAAGGGGAACTGAAAAGCAGCCTAACTTACTGGATATTTTCTTCATCGTGACTCTTCTAGTAAAACTTAGATACCCCTGGATTCCTGTTTGCTAATAAATCAGACCTTGCTTAAGGTTAAGATTATTTCTGTTATCGGCTTCTTTTTTGGAATGCACGCCCTCTCTCTCTCATTAATATGCAGATTAATGGAGAAATATTTTAACGTTAAAAATGTTATGTTGAATTATATTCCAAAAATGTGGAATTTTACTGTTTTTGAGGAACTCTGGTTATATCTGTCATGGGGAATTGCCAAGGGAATTATTTTGAAAAATTGCAAAAAAAATCATTGTTCTAGATATAGAGGACTGGATTCAGGAGAAGTGTAATTTATCAATTTTTGAAAAGTCAAACTTTTCTACCTAGTTAAAAAGGATGCAGTATGGTACAGATTTCATGATATCTTACAATGAAAGAGCCTCAATTAAAAATAAATAGGAATTTGTATAAAATATGTAATACTTGATATAAAAGAGATATGCTTAGATTCACCTTCCCTTTTTTTCTTTTCTGTTTGGTTTCTTATTGTGATCACTCAATCTTTTCTGGATCCTATTTTTTCCTTGCATTTTTGTGCACTGTACTCTTTTTTGAAACTTGTAATAAAATATTTTTAAAGGTTAGGGTTAATGACAGAACATAATTCAGTGAATTCTGTTGACAGAACATTTGCTTTCTTTGTCTAGCACTGTCAAAACATTAAACAAAGCAAAATATGACATGACTTTGTTGGAGAGAAAATGAGAAAAATGCACATGAGGAAAAAAAATCACAGGACATCATAAATATGGGATTTGACTAAGTGTGAGCTTGTGAGTTATTTAGTTTTGCCATTTTTCCCTCCTTTTTTAAGTATACTGAATTATGTTCAGGATCTCCATTTTCATGAATTAATATAAAGACTACATATATTTGAAGAAAGTTTATCATATCAAGTAATTTTGCATGATGATAGTAGGGCCATGTGAAAAATGTAGAACTGTTTATGCTGGGTCATTAATATTTACAATATATTCATTCGACATATTAACTCTAGCAGTCAGAAAGACAATATCCGTGCCACTATCAGAAACAATGATAGTTAGATAATAATTAATTATATACCATGTAGAATGACACCCTTCACTTAGTTACATTCTAAAACGTTTCCATAATTGTCTCTGTTTATGTTCTGGAAATTATTGTATTAAAAAAATAATACTGAATATTGAAATATTTTAAAGCAGATCCCAAGTCTAAATACAAGGGCATAACGTGTGACAGCAGAAAAGTAACTATGATACACAAATTCTTCTGATTTCCCAAAGTTTTAGTATCAATGCTTTTTTGATCAATATACTACTAAAAATTCAGTGAAATATTTAAAGATAAAATTCTTCAAATAACTTTTTTCTAATGTGTTCTAGTATTTCTGAGAATAAAATCAGAGCTTTTTAGTTTTCCCCTTCTTTGAAGGGCAGCAGTGCATGTGATGTTTAATTATCCAAAAACAGAAAAATTAAAATTATGTGCTACAAAGAGATGGCACAGAAGCATTATGATGAATGTATTTCCTCATCAGGAATCAAATGGAATCCTGTCCCTTTTTTTAACAGAAGTGATGTGATCTGATGAGAGTTGTTGTGAACAGAGGAACTGCAGGGTTATTATGAGCATATAAACAAGAAACGTACGAGGCTAGTGAGAGCACCAGATTCTACCCTCTCCAAATCTGGCCACAGAATATCTCAGGCTTGATAGCAATTTCATTAGTTCTGGAGTATAGGGATCTTGAAAAAAATATTCCCGTCTATAGGGAAACATTCAACAAATCACTTATTTCATGTGTTTGAAATTAATATTTAAAATAATTTACATCAATCAGCTCAATCAGCTAAAATAATTTACATAAATTATTCATATAACAGAAAATTTTATAGAAAGTATATTTAATGGGGGCAGGAAAAAAGGCTAACTCATAGACAATGAAAGTAAACAGACATGAAGAAAGGTTTTCAAATTTTACAGAAATTAATTTTTGTCATCCTGTTTCACTCTAGATTGAATTAAAACATAAGCTGCTTCAGGACTACATATTTCCATTCCTAGCAAAGTAAACAAAACTATATTATTTGAACTAAGAATATGGCTTAAAAGCATAACAGAATTTGGAAGATAAAGCATGAATCTCCCCAGAATGGTTTTGATTATATTTTCCTAGAAATATTTAGGGAATGTAACTGATGCTTTGATTATAAAACATCTAGTTTGACTGAGACAAGACAGAGTTTCTTCTGTGTGCTTTAAACCTGGAAGCTACAACCATTATAAATTAAGAATATTTCCATTTTGTGATCAAGCATGTCTCCCCCTGCTTTTTTTAATCAGAATTCAGAATGCCCAGGAGTTACATATATAAATATCCCAAAAGTATATATATTTTAAAAATTCATTCAATCGTGTCTGATTCTCAGAGGCTGCCTGGACAAGTCCCTGCAATTTTCTTGGCAAGGTTTTTCAGAAGTGGTTTGGCATTGCCTCTTTCCCAGGGCTGAGAGAGAGTGACTGGCCCAAGGTCACCCAGACGACTTTGTGCCTAGGTAGGAGTAGAACTCATGGTCTCCTGATTTATAGCCTGATGTTTTTAACCACTACAACAAACTGGCTCTCCAAAAGTAATTAACTTTATATTATCCTGGATAGTTAAATAAGGCATGAGGACTAGAAACTAGGAGACCATGAGTTCTAGTCCTGCCTTAGGCAAGTGACCTTGGGCCAGTCACTGTCTCTCAGCCTGAGGAAGAAGGCAGTGGCAAGCCACTTCTAAATCTTGCCAAGAAAACTGCAGAAATTAGTCCAGGCAGTCACCAGGAGTCAGGACTGATTCAAAGACAAAAATAAATAAATAAATGATATAAATATGGACACACATTATTTCTTCATAAGCTTCGCACAGCTCCGCAGTGTTTTTATGAATTATGCCTTCAGAGACCTTTACCCTTATTTTTATTTTTTACTGTATCTTTTCTGTATTTTAATTTGAGCTTTTCAACAGTCAAAACAGTTTACAGTTTTGTCCAAGAGATTACTGCAGTATAAAAGACATGAAAATTATTTTAGAACATCTGTTATTAGCTACATAAATAGCCAATTTTATATGAAAATTAGATAGAATATTTTGTATCAAAGTTAATATTTGCTTGAGCAAATTAAAATACCATGGCTCATGTTTGGTTAAAAGAAATGCTCTCTTGTGGATTCTAAAATAATACACCTTCATACTTGTTTGAAAACAAACTACTAGGACAATAAAACAACGCGCAGCAAATAATTAGAACAAAATGACTATTGCTTTTCATTATATTCTCCTTCTTTCCCAAACTTGAATCCTTCAAATCTCCCTCCCTCAGCTAACTAAATACTCCTGCCTCCTTTACACAGAGCCACATATTCTTCCTTTATTATTGTAATTTCCCATCTAAATATTATGTGGTCACTAGCTGTCTCTATAAATACTTCAACCTAATTTCTTCCAAAATCATAATGAAACTTTTAAAATAGTAAAAACCTCTCTTCCTTGGTCTTCATCATCACAACTCTATATATTTTTTTTCTTCTAAGATGTAAAATTGAGGGGAAAAGGAAAAGAGAGAGAGAGTGGATTTATCTCCAAGCCATCCAAGCACATATAATCATCTATCCATCATTCTGATTCAAGTATATCCTCATACCTATGTCATATCAGCCCCCACAGGGATATTTTTGGCCCAGACCAGGCATTTTCATCTATTATTGTCTCTCCCTTGCACCTTCTGTTGTTCCTTCATTATTTACTTTAGATTATTGTCTAAACTGGAATCAAATTGGGCAGAGAAAGGGTGCACATCAGCCTTACCCCAACTATCTCTAATCTCGGCACAATCAACCAGAAATCTGAATGGAGTTTGTTTTGTTTGAATACAACTCTCCATGGAATCTGAAACTCTTCTTTATTGGGGTTTGCATCTGAAAAAATACAGACAGATATACTCATGTTCAAGTACCCTCTTAGTTAGACCTCCAGCTGAAGGCTAGGAACAGTCGGTGCAGGCCTATATGGATAACCCCATTCTCTACCCACTCTGAAGCACCCTCCTTGTATTCAGCTGACTGTCTGAACAGGGTTTAACTCTGTAAGATTCCATCACATTTGCAAATATTAATAAATAAGACGTTCAGCTAATCACAGGACAAGTAAACTGTCCTTCACAGTCTGATGATCTCTGTATTTCAAAGGTATTGCCTCTAAGTGTTGATAGAAAAAAACACTGATTTTCTTACTGTTCACCTCAACTAAACTATATGAAGGAATGGTTGAGTATCCATCTGTCCAAAAGTCAAATGAACCATCAAAGGTAACAGTGTTATCTATATATACTAAGATTAATTAGATGTGGAGTAGATTTAATTTATAAACTAATTTAATTTATAATTTACAAGTTGTAAAGAAAAAGTCGGAACAATGTGGAAGTTCATGTCTCTTAGGTAAAGGGAAAGAGACAAGCTATTACTTAATTACAACTAAGTTAACACTTCCATTGTTTTTCTTCAGAGAGTGCTCATTTCTATTCTGACAGAGAAAATAAATAGCTATAGTCATCAGTCATTTTATATCTGGAATCTGTCTTTATGCTAAACATATATTTGGAGCTTTGTTTCTTGATGTGCTATTATACACTAATGCCACCATTGAAAACTACTTTAAGTCTCAGACTATAACACAGAACTGGAACCCAAACCATCAGCTATATCAGTAGTGGAAGAGTTGAGATTAGGGTTTGGGCAGTGGGCATATTTGTAATTTTGACAGCACATTATGGCCACTCACATAAAACGGTTGCCAACTACATGGTTTGTTGTTGTTGTTTAGTCGTTAAGTCGTGTCCGACTCTTCGTGACCCCATGAACCATATTGCGCCAGGCCTTCCTGTCCTTCACTGCCTCCCTGAG